CGTGTCGGATTTGGGTATGGGAGCGTAGTGTGTAGTGGTAAGATAGTGGGGGTGAGGTGTGTGTAGTGGTGAGATGGTGTGTAGTGGTGAGATAGTAGGGGTCTGGTGTGTGTAGTGGTCAGATAGTGGGGGTGTGGTGTGCGTAGTGGTCAGATAGTGTGAAGTGGTGAGATAGTGTGTAGTGGTGAGATAGTGGGGGAGTGGTGTGTGTTGGAGTCAGATAGTGGGGGTGTGGTGTGTGTTGGGGTCAGATAGTGGGGGTGTGGTGTGTGTAGGGGTCAGATAGTGGGGGTGTGGTGTGTGTAGGGGTCAGATTGTGGGGGTACCTGAACACCGCCACCTGGGCCGGGCCAGAGGTCATCGCGGACCTGTAAAGCAATGGGAGACACTTAAGGGTGTGCGTGGGTCAACGGGAGACAGGCAGTTGGGGGTTAAGTCAGTGGCTGGGTGGACGGATGGGAGTGGCGAGTCACTTATTACATTTATTAATCATTCATCTCGCCGGGTCGTCTGCTTGATCGGAACAGGGCGTGGGACAGAAATAATCTGAGAGTTTAGTAAGTTTTAGTTTTACGGCACTTGCAAACATACATTTGTGGGAGGTTGACGGGACGGTGCCCTGGTGTGGTTTGCTTGCTTCTTTCCTTCTATCATGAAACATTTATCGTCCTTATCTCTCATCCTCCTTTTTGAAACACCTCAAATAAGCTTTGGCGCTTTGTTTTTCTTTGCTGAAGCTGTGCCATGGAGCTTGTTGAATATAGCTCAGTTATCAAGTTTTAAACTCTTGCAAGAAAAATCCCCTTCGGACCGTATTGTGCTGCGAGTGCCGTAAAACGCTTGCTAAAACAGAATGGGGGAATAATTTACGGGAAGAACTGACTTGTACTGCTTAGCTTCATAACTGCAGTGCCCTTGAAGCAAAGACTTGTACTGCAGAGTCGAAGGACGTAGTACACTTTTTCCAAAACAGTCGAACGAACCTGCTCTAACGGCCAACTGTGCGAGACAATCACCTTGTACAAACCACCACTTTCCACTTCCCCTGTTACGTTTTTTTAAGTAGGCCTATTGTAATGACATTGTCCAAGACGTCCACCTGTCCAAGACAACAACTGTTCTCCTCGTCAAAAAGTCACGTCCTGTACTTACAACAAACAAACAAAACAAAAACTTTACCCTCCCCAAAAAGACCCTCCCAAAAAGAACCAACAACAACAAACAAAACAAAACAACCCCCTCAACCCCCCCCAGCAAACAAACAAACAACCCCCCCTCCAAAAAAACCCCACAAACAAATAAACCAAACAAAAATTTAAAAAATCACAACTCAAGACTATAACTGCCTTTCAATAAGGAGGGACCAACAAACATCTTGTCTTGTTCATACGATGTTCTCTCTGTTGCCCTTTCCGTAGAATGTACACCATTTTTTAAAATGTGTGTTTTGCACTACTGCAAATGCCCCCCCCCCCCCTCTCTCTCTTTCACTTTCTCTCTCTCTCACTCTCTCTGTTTATGCGTGTGCATGTGTGTGTGTGTGCATGTGTTTGTGAGGAGAGAGAGAAAAAAAGCGAAAGAGAAGGAAAGAAAGAGAGAAAGCGAAAAAGAGAGAAATAGATAGATAGATATAGATAGATAGATAGATAGATAGAAAGAGAGAGAGAGAGAGAGAGAGAGAGAGAGAGAGAGAGAGAGAGAGAAAGAGAAAGAGAGAGAGAGAGAGAGAGAGGCAACTATAGTCCCCGCAGAAAGAGGACATGAGCAGATACACTGCAGATTTAAGCAACAATAACTTCAACAACGCGGAGTCCGTATACATAAAACAAAAACAGTTTTCAAATAGTCAAAAACACTCATCTCTTCTGAGGAAACATGCAAAATCAATGGACCAATAAAATATCACACAAACACAACTTGCAAATAAACAAGAAGAAACAACCCACACTAAGAAAACCCTTCCTCCCCCCCCCCTTATGTATACACACGCACAATCTTTTTCTCATATTAAAGTCAAGTAACACAACCCCCTCCCCCCCTACGTATACACACGCACAATCTTTTTCTCATATTAAAGTCAAGTAACACAACCCCCCCCCCCCAAGAAAAAACAAACAACAATACCAAAAAACAACCAACCAAATAAACAAACCAAAAGCAAAGAGCAGGAAGCATACACAAGGCACAGAAACTACGAAACACAACATCATATCTCATGTAATTTTAGTAGAAGTTTTACATCCCAATCGACACTATACAGATCATTTAAGAAGCCGGCTGCTTCATCCCTGCGTGCCAGGATCAACCCAAGCTGAGAGGGAGAGGAGAGGGAGACAACAATGTTCCAGCAGAAAGACAGAGATACTCGATAAACATTCTCCGCACACAAAAAGAGTCGAGAACTCATGTCTTCTGTGTGCGACGGCAAATTTGCAAGTCTGTTTTAGTAGAGGCTTTACGACGCTCTCAACTGCATGCGGTCATATGAGCGCCCGATTTGCAAGTCTTTAAGTCGTCTCTTCGAGTCTCAACATAAATATGTGGTAAACAGAAAGACAAAGGACATGATCAGATCCAAGAAACAACAGAAAGGTAACAATTCATTCCGAAGGTGAGGCCTCTGAAAGGAATCATAGAGAAAGAGAAAACATAATGTGTATCATAGCTCGGCATTCTATTTCTTAACGAGTCTGAACAGATTGGCAGAAAACGTGAAAAACCTGTATAGTAGGGAAGGTATCATTTGAAAAGTGAAACTAAACACCTGTGAATTCTGAATGCCATGGTGTGTGGATTCTGAAAGCCAAAACTTATCATTTCTTGATGAAAAAAAAAAAGGTGAGCGAATTCTGAATATCAAGCTTGTGAATCCCGACTTACCAAAAGACAACATAAAATTGACACAACTCTGGATTTGTGAGAGAACAACACGATGACGAGAAACAACAGAAAAAAAAAGGTGAACTCTGTGTGCTCAGACACACAGGTAGAGCAGGAAAGTCCTCCAATAGAATCAATGCAATGCACTGCCTAGATGCTCCAAATCAATTCAAAGCAGAATTTGGATGCATAAAACCAATCCAATGCACTGCTTAGCTGTGCCAAAAAGTTATCAATCCAAAGCATTGTTTAGCTGTACTAGAAAAAAATTATCAATCCAATGCATGGTTTGGATGCACAAAATCAATCCCATGCATTTGTTCCGACACAACAAATGAACTGTTTCAGATGTATCATGTCAGTCCCATGCACTGTGTAACCGTACACATCAGCTCAATGCATTATCCAGATGTTACCAAATCATTCTAATGCATTGTACCAAATCAATTCAGTGCATTGTTCAGATGTACCAAATGAACTCAAAGCATACTTATTAAATCAATTTTAAGCATTGTGTCTAAGTATCAAACCAATTAAACATACTGTGTACAAGTGTAGCCCGGCTCAACACATTGTCAAAAAGTACCAAATCAATTCAATGCATTGCCTTGATGCTTGAGATCCAAAGAATTGAATTAGAAAGGACAGACATGCAACATACAACTAACATGCACATTTTACGCTGGAACATCAAACAAGAATGATTGGACGAAGCATGTAACTAATGCTCCGTCCCAGGCATGAACACAACAACCGTATGTCACGGTAGTCACAGTATCCTATCTTACTCTTTTTTAATCACGGGACTATCCCCGACGACCAAAACCGTTTCTCAATTTTTCAACAAGATGCAACAACCAACAATGAAACAGAAAAGCACATTGTGCCCCAAAAAGGCAAAAAAGCGCATAGC